CAGTGCTGAGTCCCAGTGATCAAGCCCCTTGACGCTCAGAACTCAGAACGGATCCATAAGAAAAGGTCCGCTCAAGACTTTGCTATGAGCGTATAGGGGGGGGTGTATGTATATTATGTATGTTGTATGTATACCATGTATGTACTCTATATATACACATTATTTCTCTAGTCAGTAGCGTGTGGCAATGCCCGTTTCATGTCACCACACGCTTAGATGAATGTGCCTGGCGACATCTGGAAGCTACTAGTATACCACTTACCACATGTCGTCTGAGAGGTCAGAGTGAGGTCAGTTGACCCATATAGGAGTGTAAGGACTACCCGTGCTTATGAGCGCACTCTTGTATATTTCCGTTGAATAGAACCTACAGAACTCTACAGGTGTTTGTGTTCGCCCCTGTATTTAGAACCAAGTACCCAGCACATCTCCACCATGTATTTTGCAAATAGAAAATTATGGGGGCCGTGTGTGCATTCAGCTGACTGCATTTAAGTGCTCAGTCACACTGTATCCATTCCTCATTATTTATTACTTTTACTGTACTGTATCCATTCCTCATTATTTATTACATTTAGTGTACTGTATTTCATTGTAGATTTTTAATTTTTTTTGGGGGGGAAAAAAAAAAAAATTTTTTTGTCGGACTTACGACCTGGATTTGGGTCCCTCTATATATATATATATATATATATATATATATATATATATATATATATATATATATATATATATATATATATATATATATATTTCATGTAAATCCACAATGAAAACGTGGATAAGATAAATCTTGATAAAATCTCACGGGAAAATGGAAACAACGGAGTACCTTAGCTTTCGTCTTTATTCAAGACATCTGAAGATGTCTTGAATAAAGACGAAAGCTAAGGTGCTCCGTTGTTTCCATTTTCCCGTGTGATTTTATCAAGATTTATCTTATCCACGTTTTCATTGTGGATTTACATGAAATATATATATATATATATATATATATATATATATATATATATATATATATATATATATATATATATATATATATATATACTATTACATATATATATATATATATATATATATATACTGTACATATATATATATATATATATACTGTACATATATATATATATATATATATATATACTATATATATATATATATATATATATATATATATATATATATATATATATATATATATATATATACAGTATTACCCCGCCTAACGCGGTTTCACTTAACGCGTTTTATCATATACGCGGTGCCTCGCCAGAGCTGAACTTTCACTTAAGACGGATTTTTTCCACATATACGCGGTGAGTGTCCGGCTCGAGACGCTATTTTTAGATTTGCCCCACCCGCCACCCTGCCTGACTGCCTGTTTTAGCTCATAAAATTCATACAAATTACCCGGCCAGAATATAATTTACATTGCTGGAATTCTTATAATTTGGTATCATTTTGAATATAAACATCATATATTTTGCATTAGACATACAAATTTTAGATAAAATGTTTTCTCTAGTAAATATGTTATCTTTTGTGCAAAATATATGACATTTATATTCAAAATATTCCTGGTCTTACAAGGAATCCAGCAATGTCAATTATATTATCCTAACTTTAGTTTGAGGTATTATTTATTAATATTTAGTGGTTTTCCCACACATCTCCTTGGGACGGTTGGTGGGGGGTGGGGGGGAGGGAGGGACCGACCGACCAACATCTGTTACCCCGTGAAGAATATTTTTTTTTTTATTAACTGAAGATATTTGTTTTAGCTCATAAAATTCATACAAATTACCCGGTCAGAATATAATTTACATTGCTGGAATTCTTATAATTTGATGATCATTTTGAATATAAACATCATATATTTTGCATTAGACATACAAATTTTAGATAAAATGTTTTCTCTAGTAAATATGTTATCTTTTGTGAAAAATATGACATTTATATTCAAAATATTCCTGGTCTTACAAGGAATCCAGCAATGTCAATTATATTATCCTAACTTTAATCTGAGGTATTATTTAATACAAAATGTTAAAATTTATTTTTTTCACCCACTCTTCTCTTGAAGGGAGGATTGGTGGGGGGTGGGGGGAGGGTTGGGACTGACCGCGCGGTTGGAAGAGGGGGGGAGGCAAGGTGGGGTACTTTGATTGACAGATAGTGTCCTGAAGAATTTTTTTTTTTTATTAACTGAAGATATTTGTTTAAGCTCATAAAATTCATACAAATTACCCGGCCAGAATATAATTTACATTGCTGGAATTCTTATAATTTGGTGATTATTTTGAATATAAACATCATATATTTTGCATTAGACATACAAATTTTAGATAAAATGTTTTCTCTAGTAAATATGTTATCTTTTGTGCAAAATATATGACATTTATATTCAAAATATTCCTGGTTTTACAAGGAATCCAGCAATGTCAATTGTATTATCCTAACTTTAGTTTGAGGTATTATTTATTAAAATTTAGCAGTG